GTAACAAGAGAGGGGACACAAGAATATGCACAGTAAATAAATTAATAATATGCACAGTAAATATAAATCACAGTATAGAAATCACAGTAAATGAATCACAGTACACAAGAAAATAAATATCGAAGCCAATGGTTCTCGAACATCTGTAACATACAAGGGATTAGTAACAAGAAAGGGGACACAACAATATGCACAGTAAATAAATTAATAATATGCACAGTAAATAAATTGATGGTTGTCGAATGCCTGCAACAAACAATGGGTTAGTAACAAGAGAAAAGACGAGTACGAGACGCGCGACCACCCTCCGCGACGGCTCACGAGAAAGTGAGGAAGCTAACGCTTCTTTGACGCGTTCGTTCGTGTTGAATTGTTTTTGCCGGCTTGAACGACCTTCCTCCTTGAACGACCCAAACACCGAATGGTACGGCCAGGTACGGCATGGTATGACGCAACAACATCAGCGCGTTGGACCGACGGAGAGCACCGATACCGTGGCACGCTCTACCGTACTCTCTCGCTCGCACACCTCCCCCCATAGAGACCCCCGAAATTCCTCGGCACGCGTCAACATTATAATTCGAGAGACACGTAGCTGAATATTAACATACGTTCATTATTTAATTACTCGCAATAAATAAAATTTTTGTAAGTAAATAACGTGTAAGTAAATTCATATGTAAAAATTTACCAATTGCCAGAAAGTAATTATTAGTGCGTATTAACATTCTTACAATAGGCAGTAAATGTTAATAAAAGCGGTGTATATATTCTTCCACGTGTAGATTTGATAAACTATTTATGAAACTACATCTATTCTGAATTTATCTGTTACAAATGTACAAATGTAAGGCAAGATATAAAAACAAATAAAACAAGAACATGTAAAAAGTCCATTAACGATGCATTTTGAATAAATTGTCTTGTAGTTATACGCCCTCGAAGCATGGGACAGAAAATTACATTGCATGTCAGGAGGTCTATTCATATATCTCGTCTGTGGTTGTACACACAGGTTTCATTGCTGCAAACTGGAAAGCAGACACAGTTTGAACACAAGAAATTGAATAAAAAATCCTAAACACGTTAAAATTAATAGATTATAGAGCTTGAACCTCCAGTTCCCATAAGCACCTACAGGTGACGCAATTTATTTGGCCTCGGACATAAGAAAATTGAAAGTTTACAGGATCTAATTAGGACGTTTTATCTATTTTTCATAATAACCTCTGAATAAACTATTTCCACGATAACTCTAAGAATTATGTACTTATATCAATACAGATAAAAATGAACAAAATTGTCCCTATTGGATCGCAATTTGAGCTATGGGAATTGAAGGGTTAAAGTACAGTTTAGTCCAGGAGAATTTAAATACACTATGTCTTAGATATGTGTAGCGTTAATGAAAAATGTTAGATGATTTTTGGCGTTCGCGAGTGTACACAACGTGTTCGACAGAACATCCCACCGTTAAATTGATAGTAAATGTGCATTTGTTATATGGCGTGTAGCGGTCAGGGTTCACGCAGCAGTTGGCTCCCATTCAAGAGGTACATTGAATGTCACTTCCGAATACCATAATCTCTCTACTCGTCACTTTTTCCTCTATCTCTTTCTTACATCCTTCCATATAGTTGCAATATAGTCTGTACAACCATTACTGCAAAAATGAAAAAAATCAATTTACTTAACAGTGGCTTTTATTAGGGGAAACTTTCTCTTTGAGATTTTTCTACTAGAGATCAGCTTCTTATTTCTCTATCACTATTTCACTATTCGATATCGACTGCAGATTTTATGCATTTATACTCAATACAGTTAAACTATCCTCTGCATCCTCGTGCACTGTTCCGGCTAATTTGTCCTGAAGCCAATGATTGATTCTTAATTGTATTTTCTTGGCCGACTTCGAAAAGGAGGAGGTTGCACAATTCGATGTGTGTGTTTTATATATGTCCAATGATTACCCTGCAACGGATGCACCAATCCGAATGAAACATTGTACATCTTCTAAAGTGTGACCACGCAGTGGTCGCATTTGCAGCAATTTTCCGATTTTTTTGATTTCATATAAACTACTATATTTATTCGCAAATCATCTCCTTCCAAATAATCCAAAGTTATTCCCGTTGATCTTTTTCTTTACGGTTACTGTCTAACAGATGATAATGAAAACCATCTTAAAAAGAAAATAATTTCTATTTTCATTGTTTATACAAAAATGCAACGGTTATGAGAACTTATTTTCTCTTGCTAAATTGCATATTGAATACATTGCAACTTTTACGCCTTCTCCAACAAAGTTGCAATGTATTTAATATTCTGTTTAGCAAGAAAGACTAAGTTTTCCTAACCGTTACTGCATTTCTGTATAAATAATGAATGAATACGATTTATTTTCTACATTTTAGCATTACATTTCGAAGTCGGTACACATTTTAAAACAAATACTTTTTATGATTATAGAAACTTGTAAATTAATTTGACACCATTATAGCCTACATGTAGAATCTAGCGATAAGTAAATATATTTGCTTAATTTGATTTTCATTCAATGAATAACAAGGTTTATTGAGGAGTGCACGAGGATTAATAACGTTTCCAGATTTTCTTTTCTGCTGAATCTCATAGAAGCCTTGATAGGACTGATTTTCTCTTTGACTGCAGTCTGTGTAAATTAGTCCACAGAAATGGATATTTGCATAAACACCCGCACTCTATTGATGATAGACGATAGAGTAAAAAAAAATATTGAGTAACATAATTTCATTACTAGCATTAACTGCTTTGCGAAAATTTATGTATTTAAATTCTATTTTAAAAATTGAAACTTCTATAGAATAATATAATTTTTTGACAGACAATTTTGCTGTAGACAAATGATAGTAAAAAGTCAATTTTATGGATTTAGAAAGATAAACAGTACCCATATTTTGGTGTTTCCACTACATGTTTGATTATACAATACTGAAAGGTAAGAAAATTTCTCGACCACAAAGTGTGAATAAATATGCTTATGTTTTATAATGACAGAAATAGTATTTTTTTTCTAATGTTAACTGCGTCTATCATTAAACTTACCGTGCGATTTGCTTGTCATAGTTTTCTCAAGTTCGAGACACGGTCTGAACTATTCATTTATTTTACTGTTAATTCGTTCGTATGAATACTTATACTTTTTGCCAAGCCGCAGCCGAATCAGAATCACACTTTAATCATCGAAGAATTCGAGCCGGACGTGTTTCGTCAGGTGATAGAATATATTCATACTGGCTGCGTGATGCTGCAGCCGAGAACACTGTTAGGCAAGTACAACAATATTATTATAACAATATTTTAAAGAAAAAACTTTATTCGGTGCTTTCTATAATTAAAACATTTACTATGTTTAGCACATTATCAGAGATTAGGTGTAGCTGACAATATTGTCTATTTATGATAGAAAAACTCTCCTTTCATTGTTCCTGTTTTCACAGGAGTAATGAATGCCGCCGATTACTATGGACTGAACCAGCTCAGAAGTGCCTGCGCTGGTTTCGTTCAATGCTGCATAACAGTGGACACAGTTTGCGCTTTATTGGCTTCTGCGGAGCGATACATTCAGTACAAATGCACAAAGTCTTTGGTTCAGAAGGTAAATTTCCAATCTTAACAAAATAGTACGAAACATCTTTATTAAACAAAATGTTAGAACAATTTTTTGACGGTCAACTACGATCGAAAATCTTGTACAAATTTTTCATTGTACAATCTATTAGGTTCGTAGAAAATAAATGGCAGCTTGAAGATATAATTCTATTGTTTTTTTTTGCTGTCGTTCTTTTATGTTGCATCAACTACAAAAAGTTATTAACGACAATAATGTTCAATTATGTAGTTGTATATTTTTATGTTCGAAGAAGTTTCCATTTAAGCTGTAGCTTATATCGTTTTATTTGTCGCGATATTGAATATTTGCTGGAGTGTATAATTATGTAATTGACAGTTATTTGTACGTTACATTTGTTTCATTTATTATTGGTCCTGCTGTAACTACAAATTATGTAGATTGTTTTAAATGCATTGTTAAAAGAATGACGATTAGAGTTCGCGGAATTACAATGAAATAGAGGGAATAATGTGTACATTATGTGATATTGTAACACTATAGACACAACTGATGGTTGGCTATTTTTTCTCCACCAACCTAATACTAACACGAATAATAACTTGTACAAGTATTGTAAGAAAATCACGCTGACATAACATTTATTGATAATCCCCAATGTTCGCGATTTCTAATCTCGAGATCTTATCGTCCGTGACACGAGACTTGAATTCAACATATTTGTATCAGATACTGGTGATATTGATCAAAATGTCTATATCGGTTTTGCTTTCTTTTCATTACAAATGAATAAATACCACTGATAATGACATCAAGGTGACAGTCTAGATCGTAACGTATTAATCGCAAGAATGATCGTATGTCTTTGTGACATAAAAATAACAAATAAAGAAATCTGATGGTTGCGTGTATGGTCACTGCCATCGTTACTTTTTTTTTATATAACCAGATTACAATTAGATCTAGAAATGCAATTAAATTCTTGTATTAATTTCTGCGATTTTATTGTTTCTTACTATGAGCGACAGAAATATATCAAGAATTTACTAAGAATATTCAATTTATACTCTCTAAACATTGGCAGAACTATATTTAGATTTATTCGAGACAATATTAATCTTTGACTTTTGATATGTGAAGGTGCTGGAATTTGTCGACGAACATGGCAACGAAGTGTTGAACTTGGGATCTTTCACTTTGCTTCCACAACACGTAGTCCGTTTGATCTTAGCTAGAGAAGAATTGCGGGCTGATGAGTTTACCAAGTTCCAAGTACGTAAAATTTAATTAACTAAGATACTTCTTTTTCTTTCTGAATTTAAATTTTCAACTTCGAATGATTGCCCCGTTTCTACTTAAATTATGAAATGCCAAATAGTCTGTTAATACAAGAACAGGTAGTTTATAATCCCTTGTAAATATCATTCGAATGTATTCATATACAGGGTGGGGCAATAACTATGTCCACTTTGAATATTGCCGTTATTTGTAATAATATGAAAAAACGTTATATGCAAAACTTACACGGTATAGAGGGGGGTATATTGTGGCACAAACATTTTCTGCGTGGGTGAGGGCATAGAAGAAGAATGCTATGTTTTTTTACGGCGATGTGATAGTCGGTGTTGAGACGACTTCAGCGAGCTATCATTGAATGTCATGCAAGGTCAAATGTGGTAGTAAAATAAACTTTCATACATTACAGGAGATGCTCGAAGTGGTGAACGTTTCTGTCAATGCAAAATTGTAATCTTTGTATCGCTGCAATCACGTGCATGTCTTATCGTTACTCAACTTATTCTAGCACATGCTGTAATTATTATACACGCTGTACTTATATAATTATAAGAAATATTGTTGAAATCTTACAATCGTCAATTTAGGCAGATGACTTTAATAATTTGATCACCCACTGTATATACTCTCGAGGCTACATCTATATTCCAATATCTGTAATATCAATAATTTCTATTTTCACGCATTAACAAATTTGGTTTTCCTGTTTCAATCAGGCCGCCCTGATGTGGAGCAAAAAGTACTGCGACAGTAACCAGAACACATCATTGAAAGAAGTAATAGGCAACTTCCTGGAGTACATTCAGTTCCATAAAATCCCGACGAACGTGTTGATGAAAGAGGTCCATCCTTTGGACCTGGTGCCGTCCGAGATCATCATGAACGCGTTAGCCTATCAGGTGCGTGTTGTTTCCAAAATAAAATCCAACGTGTCTATTCTCATTGTTTTTTTTTCCATTTATGGCGACATTAAATGTCACGTTCGATCGTTATCGGCAGCTGCTCTTTTGTTCTTCTAATATCTCGATCTTTGTATCCTTATTTACGATCTCGTTCGCTGCTTCTGAACCGAGCGGCGTTATGATACGATCGCTTTTTCCCTCCCAAAAGCAACACGATTCGCATAATCTGATGGGAATTAATTCTTGAAAACATACTGTTGCAAGCGGCAATTTCAATGTACCACCCAGGACATTAGTCTGTGAATATCTAACAAAACGAAACACTAGAATGTACATTCGTACCACGAAGGTAGTAACTGTTTGTCAAATCTGTTCGATGTACGTGTTCCGTTGGGGTCACTATGTGACACACAGTTTCGTCCAGAAATATTTGCGATTTCAAGGGATTTAAAGTAAGAATACATTTCTGTGTAAATGTGGTATTCACTCGAAAATCTCAGATTTAAAAATCCTGCTTGAAAGTTCGAAGAATAGAGATCACCTTATTAAGAATTGATGCCACGTTAAAGTTTTTCTTATTGTCACGATGTTTTAAATGAAATTCTAAATTTATGAATTTTAAGAATTTTAAGATACATTTGTAGTAATGTGTTTTATTGTAAATGTAACGTGAATTTGTCTAGTAAGATCGTCATGTTTCAGTTTACTGATCAGTGAAATGACATATAAGCAGATTTTTTATTTGGTCTTCATTTATTTCGAACGAATACAACTTTTAGAGATTTTCGAGGATATACTGTCCTCCATTTTTTCGCACACCTCTATTCGTATTTTCTTTATTTCCTACTTTCAAAGCATGTCGAGAAAGCACTAAAAATGTCAAAATATTCGCCGTCAGCATTCATTTACTTTCATAAAAATACAAAATTACACAAAGTAGTGAATCTACACATGAAACTGGTCCCATATATTTTCTCACACCCCGTACTATAGGTATTATGAATGTGTTTAAATATATATATATATATATATATATATATATATATATATATATATATATATAAAGTTGAACTGTTGGAATGTATTAACCACTTGGTGACTTTTAACGCATGTGACGTCATGTATTTTTTATGTTACAATGGACAATAACAAGTGTAACTTATTGTCCGATTTGAAACAATACTTATCAATATATCCATGGACTCATAGTTTGATTTTGAAGTAGTCAAAGATAGGGTCCATATCAATAGCAACACAATGAGTTGTTACAGAATCAAGTACCATGGATAATTCTTTATTATTTCTAGAATTAGTTTTTCTTTTTTTCATACCGTGTACATACATATTGTTTTTTTAAGACCATGATTTACTATAGGAGATAGAAGAAAAGTTGAATCGGTTTTTATAGAAACAATTTCTTCAAATGTAATAGGCACCCAAGTGGTTAACACTCGATTGGGCCTGTATCGGCATCTGTAGCGTTGTATTAGGCTGTCCCAGAAAATATTGCGTATTTCTAGTTACTTTTAAACCGTCTTACAAAAGCGAAATATATACACTAACATGTTTCTTATATCTGTCCTTTCTTTATTTACATTTTCAGAATTAATTTCTTTCTACGCAGAAAATAGGTTTGACAACACAAAAATCGAAGGTTTATTGTATCTACGACATTATCGGAAACGAAACTACAATGTTGTCGAAGAACAAAAAGAATATATCAATTCAAAGGCAAGCCACTTATTAAAAATCGCACAGCCCAGATATGAATTAAAAATTTTTAGCACGGTGACACCGGAAATGGCAAGACGTTATCAATCGTAACTAATTTATCTGTATCGGTCCGTAATTTATCAGTGGGGCTTCGGGTAGCGAGATCCATTGCGTAATTTAAACGACAGTTATGACCTAGCCCATTGCGATTCAACATTTACGACCGAAAAGTAAAGCCCAATCGACCATTATTCAAAAATGGTAACTGAAAATAATAATCCATCGTATTACACATAAAAAATATCTAAACATCTAACATATTCTACTTTTCCTTATATTATACATACATATCAGTGAACTGTGGATTTTATGTATTCATAACACACAACCAAAAACTACGAAATACGCAGTATCTTCTAAAGCACCCTAAAAACATTTCCCTCCGACGTACCAGTCTTGTTTCACTGTTTGTTCAGTGTCAATTCACCATCCCTCATAGTAAACCACCGTCATCGTGTAGATATGAACCTAACTATGGTCCATTAAACGAGTCGAGTTAGTAGCTCTAGATCAAAGCATGTAACAACCATTTAGTTGGTGCAGGGACAGGATGCCCAACTAATACCTAATACCTAAAATCTAGCCAAGAACCTAACTCAAACCTGATCCCCACACATGCCACCTTACTAATGCCTAACACCTAACCAATACCCAATACTTAATCTATACCAAACTCAGACTTAGCAGACGTTGGTCAATATTAGCGTTTACCATTCGATGGCTAAAGCCGCTGCCTCTATCACGTATTTATCACACGGATGTTCTGTCTATTTCCACTGACTCGATTCGTTATATGGATCACGACCGTGGCTCAGTTCCCGAAATTCCTTGACCGGAGGATTTGTTGCAGGCAGACCCGAGCAGTGTCGACCCGGGCAAACTCTCTCCCCACAGAGTGAGGCGACAGGGTCGCTGCATGTCGGTGCAGTCCTCCCTGGACCCGTACGGTAGCAACACGACATTAAGCTCGAGCGGTTCCGACGCCGGCTCGGATCAGAAGCAGCATTCAGGTAGCAACTAACCTCCGGCCACGGCCGCGGCGAACGCGGCCGTTTCGGACGAGCCTCGATGCGAGGAAATTCCTATTAACGACGCGTGCTCGCATCCGGTTGAAGGTAAAAACAGCACAGCGGAGCAAGAATCGGCCGGCGAACCGCATCAGCCGCAGCAACAGTCGGGTGAACAGAAGCTAGAGGCGGAAGAGGATCTGCAGCTTCAGATCGAGCAGAGGATCGAACTGCAACGGCAACGACAGGAGCAAGAGCTGTTGCGGCAGCAATTAAAGAAGCTAGCTGAGGAGGCTAAAAGGCGGGAGAAGGAGGAGGAGGAGGAGGAGGAGGCGAAGTCGGGACAGATGGAGATGCAGGGACCGGAAGAAAGGTTGGGAGGAGAGGAATCGAAAGAGGAAGAGGTGCTGGAGGAGACGAAGAAGCAAAAGCAGGAGAGGAAGAAGAAGAGCAAAAAATTGAAGAAAGCACAGAAGGAGGAACGAAAAAAGGAGGCGAAGCGGAAGAAGCAAGAGGAGAAGGAATTGAAGAAACAGCAACAAGGGAAGGAGGCGGTGAAAAAAGAGGAGGACGAATGGTTGGAGAAACAACCACACGAGAAAGAGTCGATGAAATCCGGACAGAAAGAGGAAGAATCGAAAAAAGAGGTAAAAGAATTAATGACGAAACAGAATGATCGGGAATCGGAGTCCCGGAAGAATCTCGAAGAATCTGGCAAGCAACATAAAGATCATCGGCAGGATCCTTCACTGAACACTCAAGAGGAAGAACATCATCACTTGGAAGAACAATCTACATCGCGAAACCAGAAAGAAGCACACCGCGAAGAGAAGGAGCTGCTAAATCAGCAGGAGAAGGAAGAGCAACAACGAATTCGCAAAGAGAGGCGACTGCAGTTGCAGTTGCAGGAGTTGAAGTTGCACTTGGCTGTGCAACAGGAAGTTGTGTTACAGCGACAGGAAGAAGCTCTGTTGAAGCAAATACAAGAGAGGCGACGAGAGGAGGAGCTGGAAGCTCAAGATTTTCAGCAAATGCAATTGTACCTGGAGGGTCGAAAGCCTGAGCCAGAGGAACCGTTGCAGGAACGGGAGGTGGTAGATCGAAAGCAGGTGAAAAAGACGGAGGAGACAGTGACGATTCGAGTAGAGGAACCGGAAACACCGAAACAGGAACAACACGACCAGCAACAAGAGCAAGAGATCCCTGCGCCTAGGGAAGGGGTGAGCGGTTTTTATATAAAACTGGTGGTGAAGCAAGAGGGTCGTGCGAATTTGGTTTTGCTCTTTAAAACCCACATGTTTTGAATGTTCATTTCTCGCTGTCTTCTATTTCTGGTTCGGTACTGTCGATACCTGTTACACCGGATTTTTATTGTCTCCGTGACGGAAAATTCTACCAAAGCAGAACGGTCTGAAACGGTACTGGGCAAATGAATTCGAACACTTTTTCTTTTTATTCGTTGTTACGGTTGATGGTATTTGTAAGTATACATCACAGTTACTTTACAATAGTTAACAATTATAGTCGAGATACTTGTATAATTACAAGATATGAAATAAGTTTTATGTATACTTGGCTGGACGGAAGAATTCTGACGTTTCATTTACAAGCATAAATTGTAATCTAAGACAATAAGTTTCGTAAGAATAGCATATTACATCTGCAGTTTTCAGCGATTCTAGTCTAGTACGAGGCAAAAGTTGGCTAAAAATTTTAAAAGGAAAAACCATAGACGGGTTAAATGGAGCGTCAATGTCCATAATTTCTCGATGTGTGAAAAAAAAAGCAATTTGTTCACCAGATTCATTTTAGAAAATATTTGTCGAAGTATGATTGAAGTAAGAAAATAACAATTAGACAAGACAGGCGTTGATTAATTATTATGGCATTCTAAAGATTATTTGTCCGGTACTGTACGTTTACATTTGGAGGCACGGATGAATAAGATCTCACTACATAGTTCTTCAATATCTAATGTAAAATTGTACGAGGTTGTGTGTTACTCGAAGATGTTTAATGATTCTTGTTGATACGAGCGAGTGTTTGTAAGTAAGAAATGCTCACATTAGTGTTGCGTTAATAGGAATCAGTATACTTTTAACGGAAATTAGAATAATTACACTGAACGTGTGTTTTACATTGTTCTGTAACTGTTATTGTTCAAATTTAGTAAATATTTATTTAATTTTGATTAGTTTTGATCATCAAGGAGATAACTGAAAATATTACAAATACGTCGAATTTTTGTTATATTGTAAATAATATTTAAGTACTAATTGATTAAGTTCTAATCTGACAAATCATTCTGATATCATTTAAAATAACAGAGAAGATCTTTCTTTATCTTCGATTAATAAATATTTTATTCGAAAGTAAAGAAATACATATATATTTAATCGTTATTAATCGTTAATGATGAAACACGAACAAAGAGTTCTCTTCTAAACTCTTCCTGGTCAACTTCTCTATTTTCCCCTATTGAAACTACCGCGAACACTTATCGTTGGTAGCACTATAAATACTCGAACTCTCGATATTTTACCAAACAACTCGATAATCTTCTCTGATACACATTTATCCCGAATGATCGTTTTCATCGAGCTAGTCACACGCTCGTTTAGAACTGCTCTACTCGCTAACAAACCACAGATGATTCATGAACATCGATTATAGATCCGATCATGTGTGCAATTGTCGAAGCGAACAGAGGCAGAAAAAGGATCGAGACGCAGGTCGACGATGTTATTGTTAAACACTTTTACTATTTACATATATCTATATTTGATACTATACTAAAAGAGAAATAGAGAGTATTATGCACTTGTGTTGCTTCCGGGCGAGTTACTCGAGAATTGTAGACGATTTGACAGTGGCAAACGATTCCTCGACACGCAGGCTGCTTTTCAAAGTTCAAAAATTTCCGATCGCGCTTCGGATACTTTGTACCGTGTTTGTATCGTACGACTTATCGCAGTCGTTGCTTTCGACGATGTCCTCGACGTTCCTGAATAGAATCTATCGTTCCGTTCGTCGATTGACGTACAAAGCTACCATGACTGCGTTACCGTAGCTGTCTCGATCACGATCGGTGAGTCTAAATGCGGTGTGATTTATGCGAGTTTTGTTTGTGAAAATGTGAATATATAATATAATGCTAATGTTTATTACGAGACAGCGAGGAGAAAAGTGTTTAAAAAATTTTCGCTGTTGTACTTTATAGAAACATTCATATACGGATGAGTTAAGAAATATTTGAGAGTCTTCTTGAAGGCGATTCATTGCTAAGTGTGCAAGTTAAGCTAAGCTTAGGATTTATTTGACAGCACAAACGGAACGATCGATGCTTGGCTTGAGAATGTTTTTCTCCTCGGATGTCGGTGCAGCACGAATTGTTTAAAAATGAAAACTAAATAAAAAATCAGAGTGTTTATAAACGTTGTTGATCGATGTAATACTCAGCGTTGATATAGAGCACGACGATAATTTTCGATTCGCCGAATGCTAAGAGTTGAAAAAAGTAAAACGAACAAATCGATGTTAATTATTTACTTGATAAACGATTGTTGCACGTAAGAATCTTGCTTTAATACTACACGCAACTGTCTGTGGGCAATCTCAAATGCAATTCTACGCTCAGAGCAATACCCGATGTTTCTGTTATTCCCGAATGAGAGTCTTGGGGTGTAAGTGAACTGTACAATTTCTGTAAATTTCGTCTTTCCCCAATCTGCACTTGCTTTCGTTCGACGCAACACTTTTCCGGGTATATGAACGAAGAGAAAAACTATCATTGCGATCGTGAAACTACACTCGCTGTTCACTCCGTTAATTGTCAGACTGTCGTGTATAAGTAGCGTTGTGTAATTGTTAACAGAGTTTAAACGAATAGGAGCGACCAGAAAGATAATGGAATGTCTCTGTGCTTGGATTTCGTTGTTCCCCCTGCGTACGCCCATCGACAATATTTTGTTCGTATAACACGTGCTCTTGTCTCAGGTTCAACACTTATTAATACACAGAGCTATTGGAAAAGAAATATAATGAAACGTTGTGATTAAAATGTTCTTGCATTCATTTTCCTTCACAATTAAGATTTCTTTCCGGATCAGTTAGACTAAAATCCTTGATGGTGAAAAATTCATTCTTTTATTATTTTTCATTCACAGAAAGCATGATTGCAACTGAAATTATTTACACACACGGGGTGGTTAGGTTCAATAGAAGGTTTGATAGCAGTGAAAGAAATGAAAGTAAGCTTTATTATTTTGGGTTATACGAGCATACCTAAGTATTGTACGTACGCTTACAAGGGTCGATTCATCGCGTCAGGACAAATCACGAGTCACGAGTCGTGATTCACGACACATTTTTGTGTGTGAAGAAAATAATAGATACGCGCTCTCATTCACACATTTTACCCACCACTGCCATATGCCCGCATGCTGCACGACGGTGTTGCCCATCACTGTGTTACGGGAATAGTGGAAGCAAAGTATGCTCGTCAGTATACCGTGCCATAACCGCGACAGACTCCAAGCTGCATCCCGAATGAACACGCGTATATACGGACAGAAACGAGCTGCATTTTGCATAGCTTAGTCGACACCGGTTTAATTGCTCTGGGGGGTGGGTTTATAAAATTGATTGAGTCATCCGGTCGCGCGGGTAATTATCGCCGGTTTATCGATAACCCCTATTGGTGGACGAGCATTTCGTGGCCGAAGTATGCAAATGATGGAAAGGGGTTGGGAGGAGAAGAGTGAATGAAGGACACCGGTGGAAAGACCGATGATGTTTGGCATTAAACCGAGCGAGGCTGCGGCCGGACCCGTCCGGTAGCATTAATAAATGAGAGACATCAGCTTTTAATTACGCGCCTCGTTCGTAATTGTAACCTGCAGCGAAATCGTACGGTCGGAGAGGCCATTGGGCACTTTACAAGCCGAAGGAGAAGAACCTCGCGATTTAGCCTTTATTAGAAAAATCTGTCTTTATATTTCCTATCCATTACCAAGTTTTTAAAACGAGTATATTAAAGTGTCGTAATATAAATAAAACTGTGAAACAAGGAAAACGTATTTCTGGAATTTACAATGAAGTTACAAATAGAAAACATAATTTTTAAAGAATTGTATAATGTTCGTGCTATGAAATTAATGAAATAATTAATTAACTAAAGTAATTAAGTTACTATGAAATTAATCAAACCAATTAATATTATTTTCTGCAACATTATTGTAAATCTGTGTAAATCTTGAACTTTTAAATACTCTCTTAAGGCGCCAAGAAAACCCGAAGTCAGTCTTATGTCTGGTCTCTGTAGTACGGACGTTCTTACAAATGTAAATGGCGTCATAACGGATATTCATCGATGTAATATAACGACAAACGCGGCGGAAGTTGTAAGGATTATTAGGTTCACAAATCAACTGTCGATACACTCACTTCTTGCAAGTACCTTGTAATATGGTACGGTAACGTCACTTAATGAATGTTAATTAATTGGCAGCTCATATCCGGCTATACTGAATGGTTCAATGATCTTTACTGATTATAGGAGATATAGTAAGAAGAATTGACTATGTTTTATAATTAGTTGATTGCAATGCGAATAGTTCCAATATTGTGTTATCATGCTTTTCGTTATTCTTTATCTCCGTGCACGATCAATAAATCATAGTTATGGATATTCATAATAAATACTATATATATATATATATATATATACAAACTTAATCGGAAATGTCGCGTCCGTCCGCGTGGATTCTCTTTCGAATCCGCCTGGAGTTGTAAATTCCAGGCTCGACTTTCGTGGTACGCGTACAGTTGCGACTGTTGCCCGCCAAATTAATATTAGGCAACTGTTTCATTATTCGTTAAGTGAGAAAAACTAATATAATTACTCGACCGTTGGAGCTGACGAATCGTGAGGTGGATGTTGTCGAATGAATGTTTTCGAATGAATTGAGTCCGTGTGACTCTTGTCGATACGAGTGTTTGCGAATGACTGTTCGAATTTCGTGTGACGTCGCGCTTCCTCCAAGTTCGCTGAAGGCGTTACCAAAACTCGCCTCCTTATTGGTTATGCCCTGCAGGTGAAGGCAAATTTCTCGGTTTTTCCAAGTGACGTGGAGGTGGAAAACCTCTCCTTCAGGGCGAAGCGGACGTCAGAAAAATAAAGCGCACGTGATCACGGTGCGAGTTGACCGCGACGAATTTTCGAGTCTCTCAACGGTAGGGTTTATGGCTGTATTGTCTGCGAGTCAGCGCGCCCCGGTAAGCCCCGGCGCGGATGGGTCCCAGGTTACCGAGCGCATGTGGCGGACTGCAGACCAAATGTTCCTTTTCTTTTGTCTATTATTCTATTTGGGTCAACGAAATTGAAATTACTTGAACGAAGGAAATAAAATAATAAACAATAACGGAAATGTCAGATTCTAAAGCCGTCGTTTCGGATCTACGACGGAACAGAAAAGAAATATTAAATTTTATACCATACGGATGAAATTGATCTCCTGTTATTTATCATTTTATATGATAATAATCATAATTATTTATCACAATCTATCATTTCTAATTTACACCTTATTGAATAACATTTGGACAATACGAGTATATCAGACTCATAAGCTTACACTTGCTATTGAACAATTCCATATCGCCGCTGCAGAATGCAGTTATAATACGTGTTATGACTCACTGTTACCGATCATAGATATCTACGAAGCTTTGTTACGATTCTCGTGCTCGTGTGTCACGTTCACAGATATTACTTCTTGTCTCACCAATGTTCAAAGTTGAAGGAAAACTGAAGTGTTTCATATTCACCCGATTATCGACAGGAAAGAGCGCACAATGGTTAAACTTGATCGAGACCGCGGTGGACGTAACACTGATTCATGAGGGGACTGAAGATTTATAGCAAATACACGATCAAAGTATCGTTTTATCAGACGGAACGCAGGAATATCCGAGGGGAACGTAAACACAGTGTTTCCCTATATTTGAAAAAATTTGCTATCTACAGAAGGCGTCGGCTCGGCCAAGAATGCAACAACAGATTCTATTATTTGTATCGGACATGATATACTTCCGCTTTCAACATCTGCCTGTTGATTATTCGTCCGAACGCAGATAATTATACATACATATATGTTGCACCATTAAATCGTGGTACCGGCGAGTGACAAATGATATAACAAGAAATCGAAAATCTCGAATAATATTTTTCATATGATTATGACCGGGTAATTATTATTTGTATATTAATACTTGTATATTAAGATCTCTCATAATAAACACTACAATTTTACAATAACTATCAATGTCTTTAAATTTATTCCCCCAAAAAAGGTATGAAACGAGATTACATTGTTTATATAGATTAACAAACACAAAAATCTGACGTCACAGAAATGTTCAATAGCAAATTATTGATTTGTACCTAATTTATTATTTATGCTCATTGAAGTGATACGGATCTAGGCACAAAACAATGCAATTCACCATCGATGTGATATAAACTTCATGTAGCGGTGAAATCTGACAATCAGAAAGGAATCGTGAAAGTGTTTAGATCGCACGATCACTGATAAACATGTTTTTGACAGCAGTTGCGTAACATATTTATAAAAAAACATTTGTTACGTGCACATTGCGCAATAGATTCTAACTGATAGAGCAATTCTAAAGAGATCGAATGTAATAGTAGATAGTAGTCTCCATTTCCATTTTTATCGAGGAAGTGAAAAATCGTTTAATATACTGAACTCTCTTCGAGATATATTTTGAATGGTTGCGTTCCACGACTTGTGTGTCGAATTTTACTTACGAGCGAATACAAAATACATTTTAGTCATGCAACATATGAATGAAATGTGCTTGAAAGAATACACTCATTCGATTGAAAAATTTTATAGCATTCACAATATTTACCATGTATTTTCCAGCAAAGGGAATTATTTAATTACCATTCAATTTCGCAAGATATTATAGACAAAAATAAATGCCTGTAAATATCAGCAGTCCATCATTATTTCATGCCAGTACAAAATGTGATGATATCGGCAAAATATATTTTAATAAAAACATACCGTTCAGGGGCATTTGAAAGGTCAAGCTCAATGACATATGTCCTTGTCGATCGTCGATCGATGGATCGCTTGGAAACAGTATCTTGCGTCACATCGAAAAGATTTGCCTCGTTATTGTTTGCCCAAGAGATACTATATATAACTACACGCCGATAAGATGGACACGGGAGTAAAAGCGATTTTATCGAAATAAATTATGGGGCATCACATTTCATAAGAGACGACTAATGGTAACAGGAAATTGACCTTTGGATGCACGTCGGAGAGCAGTGACGTAATTCCCGAACGGTATAAATTGTGTGACCGATCCCGTCTTGCAACGTTCACAGCCACGATGTCGATGATCGCTGGTTTACTCGGTCTTCTCTTAGTGACTGCGGTCCAATCCACTCGCAACGATCCGCATTATGTGCCTGGTCACAATGGTATTGTCCATTTGTTCGAGTGGAAATGGAACGACATTGCCAGGGAGTGTGAGACATTCCTCGGACCAATGGGATACGGTGGCGTTCAGGTGAGTCGATCATTAGACACTTATTTCTATTAATCGCAATAACCTTGGCATTCCTTGGAATCTGCTTGAAATTGTGACCATTTGATTTATTCCTACCAGTTGAACTCTTGCGGTCTAAAAAACTAATTTCGGAGTCTGTATAATAGTACTTTTGTTATACGAATTTTCAAAGTTTACACCAATAAGTAATTCACTATAATTCCAATATGGAGACGATACATTTTGGATTCAGAATATCTTTCCAATCTTCTGTTTAGTCAAAATGGTGGATGACGACAACCAATAACTCATATTCTCAATTCTTCCGTATTTTTCTAATCAGATTTTCATGTATCTTAAAAATTTACTTTTTAAAGATTCCAATTGAACATTTCGTGTCTCTGTTGCACAGGTGTCCCCCATTCAAGAAAACGTGGTAATAAACAACAGACCATGGTGGGAACGCTACCAGCCGATCTCTTATAAATGGGAGACGCGATCGGGCACGCGGCAGCAATTCATCGACATGGTGGCCAGATGTAACAAAGCTGGAGTCCGAATTTTCGTCGACGCTGTCGTGAACCACATGTGCGCCGATAATCCGAACGCAGTGGGCACTGCGGGCTCTAAAGCCAACACATACAACCGTGAATACTACGCGGTGCCATACAGCCGCAATGATTTCCATTCCTCTTGCTCGATCACCAACTACAATGACGCTAATAACGTGAGGAACTGCGAACTGGACGGTCTCCATGACTTGAACCAGGGGACTGAACACGTCAGAGGCAAAATTGTGGAGTTTATGAACTCAGCTATCGATGTCGGTGTTGCTGGTTTTCGGTTGGTATATCTGCCTATGATGATGACAGGTTGACTGTCATAGTTTTTACTGTCGAGACAATGTTATGATAAAATACCGTAAGTTTGTCCAAACGTCAGAAAATTATCTTTTTCGATTTTGTAGCACTTTTGCAGCAGGTACTTGTACGTAAAATACCTTCTCACGTAAAAATCAACTTAATCTAACAATTTACAAGGATGTACAATCGAAAATGACCATTTTACGACTTGGGAAAAAGTTACCTCGAGTCCAAATTAATCTAACTTACGGTAAATTTGATCTTGTTCTTGTTGTTAAGGATATAAGTATTTATCCGTTGACTTGATTAATCTTTCCCTTTAAATAAACTTTATTTTTGTTGCAATTGTCGAGGAACAAGCAGATTCAGTATGTTAACTTCGTTTTTCGTTCTGCCATTTAGTATGGATGCCGCCAAACACATGTGGCCAGCTGACCTGAATGTCATTTACTCGAGGCTAAAGAATTTGAACGTACAGCACGGTTTCCCGCCGAACAGCCAACCTTTCATCTACCAAGAAGTGATCGACTACAACGGTGGCGAAGCTGTCAAGAAATTCGACTACGACAAGCTTGGCGCCGTCACTGAATTCAAATTCGGTTCTGAACTGAGCAACTCTTTCCGCGGCAACAATCAACTGAAATGGTTCGTAAACTGGGGCGAGAAATGGGGTCTCCTACCATCGGATGTTGCCCTCGTTTTTATTGACAACCACGACACCCAACGTTCTAACAACGTGCTCACCTACAAATCGTCGAAATTATACAAGGTATTTAACGGAATCGTTTTCGTATTACTTGAATATGCCCAAAGTAAATCGAAATTATAACTTTGACTACTTCTAAGACAAAATAAGTCGTTCTGAGAGTCTTTATTATTCAATGACAACGTGAAAAATCTATGACGAATCGAAACAAAAGTTATGAACAGTTAAATAAATTAAGATGAATCAGTTTTGATTTTTATACAACAAATATTTGTAAATGGTCTTTCGAACACCTAGATAGATAAGAACAGAAGACAGTTGACTGGTCAGAAATTTTACTAGCGGCACTAGCTAGTAGAACAGGCTGGTGTATAGTCAGACAACGGGATCAGAGAAGCTTGGAGGTTCTTCTTTTAAATCATTGTGCAAAGAGAATTTATTGTGCATGAGAACGGTTTCTGGTCTGAAATATTGATATATTATCAGATACAAACGTGTTAGTAGTGATTTTATTACTTTTAAGCTGCTTATGATTTTTAAAGAGTTAAATAATGTTGTAAAATCTGTATTTTACAGATCTGTATTGGCTATAAATGCATAAAATCCGCAGTCTAATAATGATCTTTAATGACCACCATACAGTCAATAAAATTACAACATGTTAAATAAAGAATATTTCGAACGTTTCAGATGGCAGTGGCTTTCATGCTGGCCCACCAATACGGTATCCCCAAAGTGATGAGTTCTTTCGACTACCAAAACCGAGAACAAGGCCCACCGCACGACGACCAAGGGAACATCATGTCCCCTTCGTTCCATTCTGACAAGTCATGCGGCAATAGGTGGGTCTGTGAGCACCGTTGGCGACAGATTTACAACATGATCCGTTTCCGTAACGTTGTTCACGGGACAAGGGTCGAAAATTGGTGGGACAACGGCAGCAACCAAATCGGTTTCTGCCGTGGAAACGCCGGTTTCATCGCGTTCAACGGCGACAACTGGGACATGAAAACGACGATCAGGAGCTGTATGCCACCTGGAAAGTATTGCGACGTGATTTCCGGTAACTTGGAGAACGGACGATGTACCGGAAAGGTCGTTACCGTTGAACAGAACGGCAACATGTACATCGAGATATTGAAGTCTGAGGATGATGGAGTTCTTGCTATCCACAAAAATGTAAGCACTTATTTTAAATTGAATTGAATATTGTTAAATTATAGGCGTTTATGTAGATTTACTATCTGCTATGTGTAGACATTTTGTAGTGGCAAGGAGAGGCACCCAACTTTGGGTTTTCGATTTTAACCCTTGTGTGGGGAACCACAATATTCATGGTTATTAAGTAATCGGAATACTCCTATTCTAACAGATTAGATAAACATAGATAGAATTACTTCTATACTTTTCCGAAAGGCTTAGTTTTCTTAGAAACCATGAATGTTACTACAAAAATTCTGAAATATCTTCCCATATGTAAAGAGGAAGAAACTTACTACCTATATGGCCTAGAAGTTTCAGTAAATTCGATGACCCGAAGTTAGGGCCCTTTCCTTGTAAGTAATTCACAGAAATAGGAATGTACATATTGTGTTAAGTACATTGTACTTTTCAAGTGTGTTGAATTAATGAAGGTTCTCTGTTTTCAGGCCAAACTTTCTTAAAGAGAAGTGACGACTGATAATTCGAACAAACAGAGGGGACCATTTAGCAATGATACGCTATTTGGACAATTCTTTGATACTACTTGATATTACTAGTGTAATATAAATAAGTTTAGCTGATGTAATTGTTAATTTTAAGTAAATTAAATATATTGTCGCTTACTGAATTTGGTTGACATTTTCTATTTCATTCCAAGTCTTTAAATTGAAACAGTTCGTTTACTTCTATTAGTCCAATAAAATTAGTACTTAATGCGAAATTGAAAGATTGCAGAGTTTTACTTGTCCCAGCAAGTTTTCACTGGACGAATTCAGTTTACTTTGATTTTATCATTTCAATTTCTTGAAAATATCTTCCGAATAACTTATCTTGTCTAAATTGTTTACCGAATTGATCGCAAATACTGATAAAATGTTTCATATCGACTGTTTTCTTCAACTGTCATCGATTTTCAAAATTCTTTCATATCTGTTTAATAACCGGCTAAGATTGATTGTATTATTAATTATACATATTCTTGGAGAAATATTTAATTCCTAAATATCGACACTCTTGTATGTATTAAACGTCTCCACCGTAAAATTATTGTTCTTTAAGTTCTATAAATTTTAATATCATAATTATATAATTTATAGTTCAGTGAATGAAAGTGGAAGCATAAATCACAGTGAAAGAAAAAAAAAATAAATTTAAAGCCCATTTGTATACACCTCTCTTGGCTCTGATAAAAGAAGACAAAAGAATGTATCGTATCAGAAATAACTATAGGTACACTTCTTGCTATCCATGTATAGATCACTGATACCGTTGCTCGTATCGATACCTATCTCTTTATCAAAGGACGTACCCACCGATCAAATGCATCGAAACATCCCACCTGCTTTCGTCGGTCTGACCGTGACACATATTTCGCGTAATCACCTCGTACTCTGTTCCGATCGTTATCGGGAATTTCGAAGTCAAGAAAGCAGGTGATTGAACCCGTACACCAGATTATTTTTCAACAAAGTTTATTTTAACAGAAACAATGTACTGTTTTTGTTCTCTTTTCACCATTAATTTCTACTATACATAATATGACAGTTAATCGTAGAATAATACACGACAGACCGCGCGCGCGCGATGGAGAAATAAGAAAAAAAAAGAAGAAAAAACATATAGAGGTGAGGTGTGCAGAAGGAATGGAAGGAGGGGAGGGGATTGATGGTCGGACGTGGTCGCAAGAAATCAATAATCGTGGAAGGGTAACGCGGGGTGAAAAAAAAAAAATGAGTGGAAGAACATCGAAGTATCACAAGATTGCTTTATCGCCCGTTTTCGGTTTTCCCTCCTCTTCTTCGGTTCGTTCGTTTACACCTGTACACGATGCGCGATTGATTTGTACCGTTTATACCCGACACGATATACCAACTAAACGGCACGAATCATTCGTGCAACATCTACGATAATTCCTTACTTCCGTTTAAATAATTCTACGGGTGGTTTCTTTATTCGTATTTTCTGCCATGTATAAAGTATCTCTTTCTTTCTTCGCTCCCTCTCACACATGTACACACACATTCTATCTGTACTATTCTCTCTCTCTCTCTCTCTCTCTCTCTCTCTCTCTCTCTCTCTCTCTCTCTTTCTCGATCTATCCGAGCGATCCTGCTGCCCGATAACGTAATGATCTCGTGCCACGCAGTGATGATTGGGAACCCCGGCTACGAAACTAAATAAAATACTACGGGTTCTCTTGTAAAAGCACGATATAAATAAATGCTCAAGCATTATGTACAGTGATCTCGGTTTAAGTAAAAGCCGCTATAGCTCGGTTAATGGCCGCGCGTCGCTCCCAAGTCTGCGTTATTAATCTCTGTACTTGGTCGTGCGCGATGGTTCAGCTCCAGCCTGAGCGTTAACTTAAAAGGGTTGCATTAAATGAAGACACGGGAAATTATTCGTATTACGTAACATAAAATTTCAATTTTGTTTCAGATGAAAACGAGAGTAACGGTTGATAAACGGAGAGAATGAAAATGTTGCAAATGAAACGAAAATGTGGAGTTCCGCAATGAAATTACGAGCTTGGAAGCACACACACGGCCGTGTAAGTGTATTGTGTACATAATATTTATAAACGTATATAGTCTGCAGTAAATTCAGGCTAATGTAAATCTAAAAATACTGCTCATTCTTACGAACTTACCAACTTTCGATCCTAACACTGCCTCCGACCTAGGACACCAGGTTTGACGTCTTAATTGTTATTTACGTGAATACAATAAGGCAACGGTTTTACTTCTAAATAAATAAATGTTATATGTTGTAAATAAGAGAAGAAAGATGACGTTAATTTACAATTCTTCTAAACTATATTACGGATCCGTCGCTCGTACATCTAATATTGTTTTATTACCGTATCGTCTGTCTTCTCGCGTGCACACAAGCGCCATTGATTCGTGTCGCGTAAATCCAATGTGGCTACCCTCTCTCAGTACATTTCTCGTGAACGCATCATTTCGTTTATATCGTGTTGGTACGACGAAATCATGCAATTCATTGCGATTTTCCTAAAATTATTAACAAAAGTCACTGGAAATTTGGTTAATTTCTGTATATGTACGTAAACTTAGAAATTATAGAGCTCAAATTACAGGTAATTTCTTATTTTTTGGCGATAACTATAAGCTCGATAAAGATTGATACTGAAAAAATTGTATTGAGTGTATATAGACATGATTTATTGGAATTTACTTTCACTAATGAAATTTCGTTTTGGCAAATGTCACTAAATAATCCGTCACTTTAAACGCAGCAAGGTCACTCTTATTGATTCAGCTGGAAGCCATCATGCTAGAGACAGAATAAAATTACATAATTAAATTTTAATTAACTACTTATTAAATTGCCGAGCTTATTAATCAGTTATTAACCAGTCACTTGGCTTAACGAGAAGTCCTGTACACCAAACGTCTTTAATATACAATGGACTCTAACTATATGGCCACTAAACATATTGCCATGTTACTCCCCTACAGCCCCGACCATGGGAATATAGTTAGAGTCCATTGTATTCTTTATTAAAGGAAGATTAAACTATAAAGATGGCGAATTCGAAATATTCTTACAGAACATCCATAACTTTGGTGTTTAACTTTGGAGCATCTGTCTTCAATTATTTGAGAAAAAGAAATTCAAAGAGGGGGACAGTAATATTTGTCACGAAACGAATGAATGGTACAAAGTGCACGCGCGTTTCCATGTGTGTACGTTTACCTCGGTACGCATATGAATGTACGTACGTGCGTACGCGGAGCTCACTCCGGTGCAGCACGTAGAACGCTAGCAAAAATATAATTTAGTATATTTATCGTTATAATTCATTCATATAAAAACTTCTTTAAAATATATAAAAGAAACAACGATTTGAGCAAATACGTATCTCCTACCATAGTTAAAAGTACCGTGTCGAAACGTTCCTTTATTGCACATCAATTTTTGCTAATAAAATGTTGTCTCTTTATCATCGATCATTCTCGCACAATCTGTCACGCGATCGTTCGTTCATTCGTCTCGGCGCACACAAACAACAATTACGTTTTACATACTCTAGTATGTACACTTACTTTATACCATCAGTTTTTCATCTTGATCGGTTCTGTTACTTTTTTGTTCCGACGATCGGTTCGCCTGTGTCGTTGTCGATTGCGTGGAATTATTCGAATTTCCCGCCGTTCACACGTGGACCGATAATTTATACAGGTGTTGCTAAGCACTAGTTGCTTATCAAGTATATGTTCTATAAATGATATAAAAATTTTACAAGATACCTGATATATTGCAATGTACAATATAATATATTTTAAAGATATCTGGAGTTAATCTGTTACGCAAAATCATACTCTTATTATCTTTTATGAAGCAAATGCATTTTCTTTTTGTCACTCGTAGAAATATCGATACTCAAATTCGAGAACGAAGATGTAAATGAAAATGTCGTAGTATCAGCACTACAGAAAATAACACATTACAGCTTTCTATGATCAGAAATATGAAGACGAATTGTTTAATTAGAAAAATTGATTCCCAAAATTTTCGATATTACGTAAAAAAATCTTACGTAGAACAATTCCCAACGCTTTGTACGTCTGAATTCGTTAAGTGTTTTATATGGAAGAATCCGAATAATTCGCAATTGTTGTCACACTATTATTGTGTCTCAGGTAACAGGTAATAATTACCCATTGCATGGATAATTTCAATCAGCCGTACAGATCGCAGATTACAAACTACCGGCTCGTACGAATTTCTCTACGAAAGACCAGCCTTTGGAAGACTTTTTAAAACATAGGCACTCGTTTTCGTTGACCTTCAAAATACTTTCTCTGTCAATAGAAAGACGTTGTATTTTAATATCCATCGTCAACGGATTTTCCTCTACACTAAATTTCTTATTGATCATTCGTTAATACCTCGCCTACTCTAATTAACACGTCAATCTTCGTAGAATCTAACGAGTAATTTCGGTCAACAGACGAACAGTGTACGAACAAACGGATGCAACTCGAATAGGAAATAATTGCACAGAACGAGGCGGTTAATTTACTTATTCTCTGACCCGAACGCTGAAGCCAATTAATTCGTCTCTTATACAATATCAACTTCATCGTGCTCATCGCGTGTCTATTTCTAATTTATACCAGGATTCAACGGTAACGCACGAGCATTTACACTTGTTAGTTACCCTCCGTTTACTCCACAGAAAAAAAAAAACTGGTAGAAAAACCTGTCTAGCCGAGATCTAGAAGTCTGATCCGGAATACAGGTCGCTCAATATCGCCGAAGAATATTTCAAATCGACCTGTACCGCAGAGACAGTCTTAAATAAATCCTAATCGGGTTACAAGTACTCTAGGCACCGGGTATTAGCATCCCCTGATCATCCATAACTCTCTATGTCCATTAGTCGCAAGCTACTGATCATAGAGACCCCACGGTCTCCAAACGATCTTGGGTATTGACCAAACACTTGTCCTATATCATTCGTCACCACTCAGATATCCAAACACGACAATTCTTTAATTCGAGAAGATACCCCAAGTTAGATTTGAGTTAGCTGAGTTAGTTCGACGTCTCTCGATTTTCGTCCCAACTTCTCACGGGGCAAAGATGCATCAGCGTCAAAGTTTCATCAACGACCAAGGATCCTTCGTTTCTCCAGGTACTCGATTGCTACTCGAACTATCCCGTCTGTCACGTTTCAATCGACCGTTCTCTCGTGTTTATCAACGGGAACTAACATATAGACAACTGGCGGAGCCTCCGTAGCAACAGTTCTCGCGGAACATGTCACTGCTTGATGGGCTTTTTGAAGACTACTTCCGGCTTGCGTATCGGACGTGGTACGCGCCGTTCTATCCTGAGAGCCCTGTTTGGGTCCGACGAGAGCACCGAAGCGCCCCCTAGGCCCATTGGAGTCTCCGCCATTATTTGTCAGTTGCCCGTACTGCTGGGTCGCCTGCCAGGCAGCTGTTGCTGTTGCTGTTGCTGTTGCTGCTGCGACGCCGCCGCTACTGCGGTCAAGGCAGGTAGAGGTGTCTGGTGACAATGTGCGCAGTGCAAGCACACGGTGCAGGCACCGAGCTTCCGGGCCAGGAGCGCCCGCAATTTTAAGGCTGGCCCAAGCTTCATCCCTATTGGGCCTGTTAGGTGGTCCTCCGACAGCAGGGGCAACGCTGCTCCGTCGATACGATGCTCGCGGAAATTCTGGAACGAAAAGGAAATTCGTTAGCACCTGTTCTGAATTATAGCATTTTGGTAAAAAAAATTTCAATTGAGTTTAACGATGCAAGCACATTGACCAACCACCATTGACCCATGGTTGTCACGAGCTGATGTGGCTCGCTCACGTCACGTTCGCATAGGGACATATGACATGGTAGATGTTGCATGTCTTTTGTTATACTTGTATTTATTCCTTGCTTTAAAATACATCACATACAATTAAAATTAATTAATTTCCTACAATCTCTCACACTATAAACGAACAAAATCCGCAGTCTAACCGTAAAACTTCCTCAATTAAATCCACCTGCACCACGCCCTCCGCTCTCATCCCCATTCAACGATCCCGAAGAATGACGCCCACGCGTTCTCCTCGTCCGCCTTAACAATCCTACCATACCTGAATACCTTTCCAGCGACCCCCGCGACCCTACGGAAACGAGCTCGAAGGTCGCGTTTCTCGTCGTCTTGGAGGGCATCGGGCGCGGAATCTCGCGGCACCGTGTTGCGCCGCGCCGCGAGGCGCAACAAGGCGCGTCTTCAACGACGTGGAACGCTACACACTCGCTCATTAAAACTTCTCTGTTCCGCGGAAAGTCAGTCGAGGCTGCCGTGGATAGAGTCGAACGGAGGTGAAGTGGGGAACTGAAACAAGTAGGGAATGAGTATGATGAGGAGAAGGGAGGAGGGGACGAAAGGAAGAAGAAGAAGAAGAAGAAGGAGAAGAAGAAGAGAAGAAGGAGAAGAAGACGGAGTGGAAGAGGAAAATGAAAAAGAAAAAAAAAAGGACAGACGATTCATTCACGGGATCGGGGGCCGCGGACGTAATTGCGGCTGCAACCGCTGCAACTTACCCCCAGCTGCAAGTGCACGCGTTCGTGCAGCCACTCTCGCCGTACTACGTATCGGTCTCTCCACGGTGCACACGTTCGCGGAATACGGTGATTGCTACGGCCCGCTTATGAATGAAATATTCCAACGCTCTAATGCGACTGTTACACGCAAAGGCAGACCGGTCTTCTTCGTGCATTCCATCGTCGAGGGGGAATATCGGGGATCGGGATCGGTCTTAATCGAGGTCGCGGCCGCGAGTCCTTGGATTTTTCGTTGAGCTGGCTCGCGATATGCGAACGGGAACAATTTTTGTGAACTTCGAAATAACATGGATATTGACTTTCATTACTTGATCGGGAGCTGGAAGATTAGTGTTCTTTTTCTGAAATAGTGATTATTAATATTTTTGCATTGGGATTAATAATACACCACGACAGGTGGGAATGTGGTATTCTATGATTGGCGTAATGGAGCCAGTCTAAGGCGCCTTTCAGCCGTCTTCAAGGCGTCATTGGGCGTCATGTGCTAGCTGGGAAGTATACACGAAAAGTGATACGAATGAAGCATTATTCTCTTTAGACATAATTAGACTGTTGATTGTGTACAGCTTGAAATCGCCCAAATTAGCCCCAACCTGGCTTAACGTGTGTAAGACCTGGCTACTCTTGTGAACCACGCGGTTTTACCACAGCTAATTATCCCATTCCGCGAACCTTAGCCAGGCGATAGGCGCGCACCAGCTGACACCGGTGCTAAACGAGCGACCTGGCACAAACGGCGACGACGAATGCGCCATCTATCACGCCAGGTTACACGGCCGACGTTGTTACGAATTTCCGATAACGCTCGACGACGGTAACGGTACCGAACGGTGTACAACGAAACACACCGATGGAAACGGGCACTGCGCGACCGCGTTATGGGGGGAAGGCTGCCCCGGGACCGTTATTAGAAGCGTGTACCGCGGGCCCCGTTTCGAGCAATTGGCCCGCATACGCGCGTTTAATGATCCACGCCCGCGGATCGCACTAAAAACAACGGTCCGCGGTTGCTTTTACGAGACACGGTGCCCACGAGTCGCGAGCTTACGGCGAATCTTAATAATAATGATACTACGTGAATTTTTTAAACAGTTGGAAATATTGAGTTCTGAGTCACTTTGACGATGAGGTTATCCTAGAGTTTAGAGTCTTTGTATTATAGTCTGCAGAGTCTGAGAGGCTTGAGTAGTTTGAATTTCTCGAACGTTTATACAATATTATTTGATAAACAACATTGATTACAATGGGGCCAAAGGAAAATCTAAATCATTCTATCCTCGTACGCAACTCGCTCGTCTCAGTGATTCTGCGCGGCTTTACAATGTCAAACATCATAGAAAAATTGCGTACGACGGGCTACAAGGAAAAGGCGTCCTTTTATTATATTAAATTACCGTACGGGATAGACTATTGCTACGGAAGGCAGACGCTGCTCGCGATCTCGGCTGATTATTATGAATTACCGCGCTGAAATCAGGGTATCAATTATGTTTGCAAGCCGTGGCGGGAACAAGTAGCACGAAATTACAGTGCAGGATGTCCCCTCGTTGATCGAACCGACGTTTTTTGCAACATGGAGCTTCCCGTGGAAACTGTCGGGGCGGCATCAGTATGCGAGAGGAAGGTGTTCTATTTCATTAAAATGTATTTAGAGCAAAATGTTGCTCCCGGAATCGCATTTTTCCCCGCCGGTCCTCTAATGGCCGCGCATTAAAATGAGTGACTCGATTATTCGTCAGATTTTTCCTCATCTTGGTTGCAAAATTACACCGTGCTGCCTCGATCTTCTTATTTGATAGTCGGGGGAAACGTTCGAGCATAATTTTCTTAAAAAGTAAAAAACGGAATTTCCGGCATGTAATTGCAGTTTTTAGGGAAATCTTTGTACGACGTTACGATGTATGAAGACGATCAGGTTTTGAAGAGCTAAAAATGGATAACTTATGTTAATTAAAGTGTTGTAAAATTTTACGTAGTAAATAAATAACTGTTTCTTTATAATTACTATCACTGTTTAGTAGATTAAAATAGAAAATTCTTTTATTTTAAATTTTGTATGCTATTTTCTTGTGAAATAATTCAGAACCCCTCGCTATAGATACTAACAAAGTATTTATTACTTATTGCCAATAATATCACCCAATTTGACAAGGCAAAAGATCGAACACCAATTCCGAATTAAAACTGCATCGTCAATTTATTAAAACCAGAATGGATTACTACTATCCCTACACCTACTAATTTACAAATCCTCAAATCGATAACTTAAAAAAAAAACCTCGAATTGGGCAAATCGACCACGGACAGAATCATCGAAATGAATACACGCTGGGCCAGACTCGCGTTAATCAAAAAAGGAAAGGTGACCCAGTCGACACGGGTCCCCGGGCCGCGGTCATATTTAAGGAAACACCGTCTACAGGCGGATATCTCATCTCGGCGCATACATCTCATTGTCTTCGGAGCGGGAATACAGGCAGAAAGTTTTGTAATCTCACGAAACCCCCGAGTGCACCGGCCATGTGCGCGCGCTCCGTGTGGCGCAGCTGCAGTTGCAGCGAATATATCATCCTCGTGTTGCACCGCGGGCGACCGCGGCCCTCCAAAGCCCCGGCCACGAAGACAACCTATATTTTCTCCACCCAGTTCCAAACTCTTAAGGGCAAACGCGATCCCAGGCCTGGTCCGGCATCAATTATACCTTCCACAAACACGCTCTTATCTCGCGCGCGCTTCACCAGCAAGCGTGAACTTCGAACGAGAAGAGCTTCGTACTCGCGCGCTCGATGATTTTCCGGTATTTCACGGTTACCTGATTGAATATCGCCCCTGGTCGCCGATGCCCTCCTCGATCGGCTGAACGAGTTTACTTCAATTGAATTTTCGAGGAAAATGATTTACCGCGTATAAAGACGGAATGTTTGATCTTTTAGTTGTTTGAGACTAGAAATATACAAGCAGTTAAGATGATGGGTTCGTAAACTCCTTTTCAAATTTAACTATTGGTTTAGTAATTATATTCTTCCATGTAGTGTTTACACATATGTCAATTTTTGTTTAGTGCAATTTAAAATAATTAAACATAAAGACTAATCCTTAGTATTATTTGTAACATGTTCCAGCATAAAAACAATAACGAAATTAAAACTTCGACAGTAGCTCAATAAATTTCTTATTTTATTCATGACCTCTGAAACTCTTATGAAAAGTAATAAATTTCTATCTACTTCTTAATGTTTTCACACGAAAACTACTGATGAAGTCAAAATGACCGGTCTGTGAACTTTGATAAAATCCCTTGAAATGGATACAACAGTGTACTTTCTGAGATTCTTTGTAATTTTTATTGCAATATGTAGGGTGTTTCTGAAACAGTGAAAAAACCTGAAATGATGTAAGTCTACATGCAAAAATAAGTCGAAAATATAGAATAACATTTTTTCGTAAGATACTTCATTTTCGAGAAAATCGAATTTAAAGATCTGCTAGGTTTGCATGCTGTGGAATAGGACTTGGCTAACGCGTCTGTCCATTGCATTCTGTTTCTACTTAATGTCTGCATGGATACATTCGCGGTAGACGAATTTTGAAAACTGATTATTTTGCAAACAAAGCATCGTACAAGAAATGTTATTCCACATTTTCGACTTATTCGTGCATGTAGCATTTCGGAAACACTCTCTATATAAGTGAAACAATTCATTAATTTATCGATCTGCGTATTTTCAACATGCTGTCCCCTGTACCAAAGTGATAGAAATAGAGACACGTTCGTCTTCTCTGGAATAATTTAAGTAAGTACCTATGTATAGAGATCCAAAGACTACTAACAAAGTTCTAGGTACATTTCAAATACTTATAAAGTACTTTTGAAGGTACTTACTAATATTTTTTCCAGTTCAAGCTGTCATCGACAAAGAAACGAGAATAAACTCGAAATTCAATTCGATCGAGACACGAAGATATTGTCGTGTACCCGGGCCCGTTAAAAAGTGTTCAAGAAGTGTTGCCCGAGCGTGAAAAGGATCGAGGATCCTCGAAAAGTAATTTCGGAACCGCGTCACGTTAACCGTTCGCGGTGAGGCCGAAGGAATCTTTCCTCTCGGT